TTAAAAATATGTATTAGGCTTATATTTATACTGGAAATCCATGCATTCAGCATGGGAATGCCAATGTTGCGCTAAAGCACTAGTACTAACATGAGATCTGGTGTGAAGCAAGTCTAGGTAGAACAGGTACTTGAACAGCTACCTCTAAACCATGACAGATCTATGATGAAATCTACATTGATAACTTAGCTTAGAGCTTAGAGTCTTTGCTCATCTCAGTGTATTCCATCTTATCACCTCACACCGCACTTCACAGGCTTCGTGGGCTTAACAAAACCAGACAGTTACTAGCAATAAGGTGCCCATGCACCATGGAAATTAAAGAGAACAAACTGCATAAAATCCTTTCACAGGCGATGGCCATAAGCTCGGGTGCACCGACTAAAGTGATGAATAGCCCAAAAAAAAAAAAAAAGAAGGTAGAAAAATAAATACCACACTGCCAAGTATCTTCCTCCTGAGGGGGTGGAGGGGGAACAGTCCACACAAAATGCCTTTGAGCAAAACAGTCAATAAGAACATTGTTTGGACCCCTCTTGAGGATGTAATACTAGTGGGGCGCCCCTCACAGTATGCAGCAGCCTTTTTTTAAATTAGCAGAAAACACTCCAATTGGCTCTTATTAGATGTGCTAGTTGCTAAAAAATATTTTTTATTCACAGTTCTGTTGTTTACACAGATTACTTAAACCAGACATTAGTATGATTTCACCAGGGTAATTCCTAGAGAAGTACATGTTCGGTGACTTCTATGTAGACCTTTCTCTCCACACAAGAGAAAGTATAAATGACTTTAATAACAGTGGGTGGAGGAGAGCTTTTTCTCTGTGACTTGTCAAAGTGGGAAACTTTTATATGCTATAAAAATATCTAGGAGTACATAAGTCTGTTAGTTTATTAAATAATTCCTTGAACTTAAAAGGTGCACTCAGTAAGTTTGTGTTTACATTCAGCTGGCCCCTATTCAGTGGTTTTAAACTTTATCCTGACATTTATTTGCGTAGATGTACGACAGTCATACCTAAGCTGTTGGTTGGGAGAGCAGCAGCCCCTAGCTTACCCAAGAGCTAATGAATCAAACCCTTTTGGACCTGACCCTTCGGTCCTAAACCCACTATCACACAAAACCAAACTACCAGACATGAACATTTCCCTCTCATTCTAACCAGCTTTAAAACAACACTAACGACACTGAAGGTGCGTTGAAGGGTAGGAGATCAATGGGAGGGCATCTGAGTGTCAATGCCCTGCTCTGGGCTTTCAGGATTGTCGCAGTGAGGGTTCGTTTTACAAAACTAGCACAACTTGGGTCCACATCATCATATTGCACTGCCGTAAATCTCATGGCGCATGTTTACGGAGCAAGTCGTTTTGTTGTGTCTACTCAATACGTTTGCCAAAGGGGCACTGCTAATTCTAAACACTACCTTTTCTGACCATTCAGCAGTCCTGAAACCCAGCCAAGTCAAGTACTCTTTCTGATCCAAGAGTCAATATCCAGTTCTAAATGTTTCCCTCTCAAATGTCTTCTTCAATGGCATGGTCTCGTCTTCTAGATGAACCCATGATTGAATCCAAGTTGAGTTAAAAGCCAAGTCAAAATATGATCTAACGCAGGATCACCTGAACAAAGATAGTTTTTAGATTGTGAATAGTAATTCTGCACTTACAAATGCTTATAAAAAGGATTAGTTCACCCAAAAAATTTATTCTGTCATTTACCCACCCTTATGTGACTTTCGTTCTTATAGAGAACACAAAAGAAGATATTTTAAAGAATGTTAACATTGTTTTGGACCCCACTGACGTGAGCAAATGAAAATTTGTATTTTGGGTGAACTATCCACAGCACAAGGCTTAAGCCCTCAATCGTGAACCACTTGAAAATATGCATTGGGCTTATATTTAAAGTGAAAATCCTTGCATTCAACATGGGAATGTCAATGTTGTGCTAAAGCACCACTACTAACATAAGATCTGGTGTGTAGCAGGTTTAGGTAGAACAGGTACTTGAGGTACCATGACAGATCTATGATGGAATCTACATTGATAACTTGAGCTTAGAGTCTTTGCTCATCTCAGTGTGTTCCGTCTTATCACCTGGCACCGCACTTCACAGGTTTCATGGGCTTAACAAAGCCAGACTTTCACTAGCAATAAGGTGCCCGTGCACCATGGAAATTAAAGAGAACAAACTGCATAAAATCCTTTCACAGGCAATGGCCATAAGCTCGGCCAACTATATGCACCAACTATAGCCCAAAAAAAGGTAGAAAAATAAATACCACACTGCCAAGTATCTTCCTCCTGAGGGGGTGGAGGGGGAACAGTCCACACAAAATGCCTTTGAGCAAAACAGTCAATAAGAACATTGTTTGGACCCCTCTTGAGGATGTAATACTAGTGGGGCGCCCCTCACAGTATGCAGCAGCCTTTTTTAAAATTAGCAGAAAACACTCCAATTGGCTCTTATTAGATGTGCTAGTTGCTAAAAAATATTTTTTATTCACAGTTCTGTTGTTTACACAGATTACTTACATCAGACATTAGAATGATCTCACCAGGGTAATTCCTAGAGAAGTTCGGTGACTTCTATGCGGACCTTTCTCTCTGCACAATAAGTATAAATGACTTTAATAACAGTGGGTGGAGAGCTTTTTCTCTGTGACTTGTCAAAGTGGGAAACTTTTATATGCTATAAAAATATCTAGGAGTACATAAGTCTGTTAGTTTATTAAATAATTCCTTGAACTTAAAAGGTGCACTCAGTAAGTTTGTGTTTACATTCAGCTGGCCCCTATTCAGTGGTTTTAAACTTTATCCTGACATTTATTTGCGTAGATGTACGACAGTCATACCTAAGCTGTTGGTTTTTCTTTTATTTTGTTCGTTTTTGTGTCTTTCTCCGTCTCATATTACATACAATAGCCACGTTGAATTCAAACTCATTCTGTTTGTTGTGACTATTAGTAGCGGTAGAAGTAACTCTGTCACTTCTGCAGAAGCCTTAGTTCCAGAAGTATTTTTCCTATTGGGATTTTTAAAGCCTTTGTTAAAAAGTTATAAGCCATGAACCAAACCAACTAGCTACAAGGTGAATTAAGACATCACTTTGAGATGAAGAAAAATATCATTAGAAAACCAGACAAAAAGTCTGTACACTTAACAACTTTGAACGAGGGAAAGGAATACAATTCCATGAAGCACTGCAAATGACAATAAAAAAAAAAAAATATATATATATATATATATATCTGGTAAAATAAACTATTGATGTGAAACTATTTTGTGTATATAGAAACAACATTCTACATTTATTGCAAAATATATATATGTGTGTGTGTGTGTGTATATATATATATATATATATATATGCACATATACACGCACACAGAAATATTTAGGTAGTTTGAAAGCTCAGACAGTGGGTGGGTGCTAAACAGTTATTTTGATGTGATTTGCTTGATTTGACTGATTAGTGGAGATTTCTATGCAGAATGAAGGGTAATGTAGTTTTCACCTGGAATTCCACTGTCAAACATGATTATTTAACAAAAGTTAAAATAACTGATGGGAAAAGCATATACTATCGATTACCAACCTCGTAGTTCATGTTAGGTCTGTCTTTAAATGTGTACAAGTTACAGTTAAAAATCAATTCTCCTACGCAGAAAATAAAAGGAATTTTTACTTTTGGAACCGACAGTGCACTCTATTGCATGACACGGCAGGCCATGTGATCTCAACATGGCAGCACCCATGAGCAGGCGACCCACTTGATGTAGTGCAGTTAATTTCTTTATATGTGAAACCTTTTTTTAAAAACATGCAAAAATTACTAAGCGCAATTTTTTTTTTACTTTGGGATTATAGCAAAATAAGAATTTGCCCATATCATGGAATTATCTGCTCCTTAAAATGAAAAAAAAAACGGTCTCCACAAACAAACTAACGTAAATTACTGTCATCTAGCAACTAAATGCATATGAAAAATTATTGAGGGGTCAGACTCTGCAAATCAGACTGCTAGAGTTAGCCTCTGACTATATAAAGCCTATAGTGTAAAGCCAGTCTCACTTTGGACGTGTCTGCAGAGAACGACTAACAGAAAGCACAAATCATTGATCAGAGTTTCTTTCTAAACGTAATCTCCCCCCGATTATCAGTGACTCCCTGCTGGCTTCGATCAATACCTGCATTCACGCTGGAATTAGATTTCACTCTTACGTCTGTCAAGTGTTGGGCAGCCATTTGCGTGCATATGGAGCAAGTTGAGAGAACGTCCTCACTTACGTAAATGGCTGATGCATTTTCGACATCTTTTTTTTCTAATTGTACAGGCTCACCGTGCACCATCCGTGTGCTCTCGGCACTGTAGAGAGAATACCCGCTCCCCTCAACAGCCCCAAAACACTCACTAAACAGCCCGTTTGAGCTGATATCGTTGGAATAGGAGCGTTAGATTTATTTTGATGGCGTTGCATGCGTGTTTATGTTGGGCTTTTTCATTGTGTCTGAGCTGCTCCTGCACTACTGTAGCCACAGCCGGGAGGACGCGAGGCTTTCTCCGCCAATCTGGGTTAACCCCTAGAGACACCAGATGAAACAATGAACGCCGTTTCACGCATATAAAATGCTGCTTTGGCCAGTAAACTTGTCAAAGTTGCCTGCTAAATATGACGGGCTTTCCGCGGAATCGCTCTTGAAATAGCCGCTCGATGTGTGATACGCCACGGCGCAATCCCGAGCTCATTTTAATAGTATTAGCCAACCACTCTGAACTGCTGCGTGTTAGAAGCGCTTTGCTTTCCACGCAAAATCCGCTATGCTATTGTCTGGCTGCTCAGCAGACTTCCTCAAATCCCCTTTTAACCGTTTAGCCCATTCATTTACACCAGATGACGGCTGAATCGCAAGTGGATGCGATTAAAACCATCTCGCTCCCAAATTCCCCTATTCAATCCGATACCGGCTAGGCCGCGCGTGAATCCCCGGACTCACCTGACTCGCCTTTACCCTTCAGGTTCCTCTGGCTCCGGGTTCACTCTCCGATCCTGAAGCGCTGCTGTAGCTCTTCACGACCAGTCCCCGGCACCGGCAGGCAACACAAAAGCGCTGATTGGGCCTCGGCGAGCGCTCATCCCCTTGGTCTCTGCCCAGACAGACGGGTTATTGGTCGGCGGCTGTGTCGGAGACGCGCCCCTATTAAGGTGTATGTTGTTGTCTGTGTCTGGAGGGGAGGGACAAGAAGCTCTAAAATGATGGGAACTAAATGGGTTGTTATGCGCGTCGTGTAGGCAGCACAAGGCGAGCTTACTACACTGACAGATAAATTGTGGACAGCCATATTAACTCCGTCTTCTTTCCGATCGACCGGAGCATTTTGAGGAACATTATGGTGTGAAACCGCCGCGATTCCACACAACATTTGGACATTCTTCCAGCCGTTTCCAAAACTTGCAGACGAACAAAACATACTGTACTTTTCCGCAATTATCAGTTTTAGAAGGTTGATTTTAGGCCGCATATGCGGACTGGAGTGATTCGCACGAAATTTGATTTGCCATTGTCTGAAGCACCAAGGGTTAGAAAATAATTTTTCATTGTAATGAAACCATGCTTATTGTTCATATCTGGATTATGTTGAAGGGACTTAAATATATGAGCATGCTTTATTTCTACTCTAATGCAGATATAAATAATAATCAATTTAAAAACGAATTTATAATTTCTAATGTCTATTACGATGCAGATTGGTTCCGTTCATAATAATACAATTATACATATGAATTTGATTTAAGATATTGCAAGAAAACGACATACGTTTTATGCAAAATCGTTTTATCATTCGTTGTTTTGATATGTAAACCAGGCAAGCAAGTGCATTTTTACTTAAAATTATGTAAAATTATTTTAACATGACATTCAGAATATGATCATAACTTGTGCTGCTGGGGGGGGGGGGGACTCTCCACACAAAAGCTGCTGTCATCAAGATACTAAATGCATGTGATTTTTTAAAATCATTAAAAAGAGACTTGTTCAATTCATAATAGTAATAATTATATATATATATATATATATGTATGTATGTGTGTGTGTAATAAGTATAAGTATTGAAACCATTTAAGTTCAAGATGGCAAAGAAAGAATCAATAATAATAAGTCCTTTAGAGTCTGTCCCGTGCTCATGGGTATAGTTTTTTTTACAGTGTCACACCACCTACAACTTGTTGGCTTGTTTCCAGAAAGACGAGTTAAATGCCAATGCAATGCAATAGCCTACTTGTTGTTTTTATAGGCAGACATCCATTTAATAACATCACAATGGACATCAAATTAAAATAAATGAATAAATAAATAAGGTAAATGTCTAAATGTAAAATCTTCAATGTGATATTATGACTTGTCACCTCTTAGATTCACTTTAAAACAATCAAACTTATCATTGATATAGCATATTAATATAAATATAATAGAACTATGCCATGTGCCACAAGCTGTCAGGCTTTGAAAAAAAAATTTTTTGTCAGAAAACAACAATGTGTGGTATGAGACAGGCATTGTCACCAAATGACAAACAACCAAGAAAAGTGACATCCATTGGAATGGAGACTCTCAAGCAGAGAGCCTATCATTCGCATCTGCCCAATAGTTTTCTGCAGCAAGATACAATAAATTTGCGGTGCACGTGAGAAATACTGAAATCTTTCGTCTTTATTTGCTCTCATTTATTCTAATAGTCGACACGGAGCAGTAGCACACGCTGACTGAACAATACGATTCTCTTGACCTACTTTCACATGCATGCATTAATGCAGTCAGAATACTAAGAGTGCAACAAAGGTGTGAAACTCTGTAACTAAAGGTTTCAAGAAGAAAAAAATTAAAGTCGGTTATCGTTTGCACGCGTATATACAGTAAAACCAGACCCCGTAAAATTATTGTTACATGCAGCGATTTTTTTTTCTCATCCGGCATCCGGGTATTGTTTAAACTCACTGTTGTGATACTGTATCTCGCTCGTCATATAGGCTACTGTAGACTAGAGGCTATATGGGACCGCAGCGGCTTTGTCCAGTCAGTCGAGCGAGAAGCAGCTCTGGTTAACTGGAGCTGTTAGTGTTTTAAACAGGGAAGATTATTGGCAAATCGCAACATTTGTCCACCATAAACCCGCATAGCGTTTTAATTGAAGTTGAGTATGTATTGATGTTCACATAGAACTCTTGTATTGTTTGTCAATACTGAGGCTGAGACCTCTAGCGGCGGTTTGTGCTGTTTACGGCAGATTTACAACGCACGAGCTGAGTGAGTCAGGAATACATTAATAACTACTGTCTACACACCTACAAGGGTCTGAGATACTCCATGTCGCATGGAACTATTACTTTAAATTTAGAGCACTTAGACATTCACCATTGTGAACAATTAAGAGTTTCCCTTATCCAAAAATAAACAGTAGATTTCAGTAGGCCTTCTTTGAGTCATATGTTCAAAATAACCAAGAATCAAAGGAAGTTCCTTATATATATATATATATATATACACACACACACACACATATATATATTTTGCAATAAATGTAGAATGTTGTTTCTATATACACAAAATAGTTTCACATCAATAGTTTATTTTACCAGATATATATATATATATATATATATTTTTTTTTTTAATTGTCATTTGCAGTGCTTCATGGAATTGTATTCCTTTCCCTCGTTCAAAGTTGTTAAGTGTACAGACTTTTTGTCTGGTTTTCTAATGATATTTTTCTTCATCTCAAAGTGATGTCTTAATTCACCTTGTAGCTAGTTGGTTTGGTTCACGTGAGAAATACTGAAATCTTTCGTCTTTATTTGCTCTCATTTATTCTAATAGTCGACACGGAGCAGTAGCACACGCTGACTGAACAATACGATTCTCTTGACCTACTTTCACATGCATGCATTAATGCAGTCAGAATACTAAGAGTGCAACAAAGGTGTGAAACTCTGTAACTAAAGGTTTCAAGAAGAAAAAAATTAAAGTCGGTTATCGTTTGCACGCGTATATACAGTAAAACCAGACCCCGTAAAATTATTGTTACATGCAGCGATTTTTTTTTCTCATCCGGCATCCGGGTATTGTTTAAACTCACTGTTGTGATACTGTATCTCGCTCGTCATATAGGCTACTGTAGACTAGAGGCTATATGGGACCGCAGCGGCTTTGTCCAGTCAGTCGAGCGAGAAGCAGCTCTGGTTAACTGGAGCTGTTAGTGTTTTAAACAGGGAAGATTATTGGCAAATCGCAACATTTGTCCACCATAAACCCGCATAGCGTTTTAATTGAAGTTGAGTATGTATTGATGTTCACATAGAACTCTTGTATTGTTTGTCAATACTGAGGCTGAGACCTCTAGCGGCGGTTTGTGCTGTTTACGGCAGATTTACAACGCACGAGCTGAGTGAGTCAGGAATACATTAATAACTACTGTCTACACACCTACAAGGGTCTGAGATACTCCATGTCGCATGGAACTATTACTTTAAATTTAGAGCACTTAGACATTCACCATTGTGAACAATTAAGAGTTTCCCTTATCCAAAAATAAACAGTAGATTTCAGTAGGCCTTCTTTGAGTCATATGTTCAAAATAACCAAGAATCAAAGGAAGTTCCTTATCTTTCATCTGAATACCTCATGTACAGACAAAAACTACCAATATAATGATGCTAGATTGTTATTTAGATTCAAACAGATCTGAAACAAAGTACAGAGTGACTTTTGTAAAGTCTAAGTGACGAAAACCGGGTGTGTGATGAATGTTTCATCAACCAACAGCATTATTTTGGCAGTTATTTGGAGTCAGGTGACGGATTAACTGTGATGACTTACTTCCACTGTGTTTCTCAGAACAGATTTAATGTGTAACTCATTTCAATGAGGAGGGCCTGTTGGATTTAAGAGTACAGATTAGTGCTAAATATTGCATGCAGTGATTCTCTGAGCTAATCCAGCATTCCCTCCACGGGTTGGCCATTTGCATAGTCCAATGAACACTAAAACTCACTATATGAAATATCTCCAACCCAACCTAAAACCATATTCCAGTCTCTGTGTGCATTTCTGTTTGTATAGGGTCTTGCAGTCCCTACACACTCACTATATGAAATATCACCAACCCAGTTTTTTTTGGTTTAGTGACTAAAACCATAGTCCAGTCTCTCTGTGTGTGTATTTCTGTTTGTATAGGGTCTTGCAGTCACATGGTGTCATGTGGCAAGTGTGAGTGCAGTCACATGTTAGGTACTGTAACTTCCGAACCAGGTTCACATTTAAACCTGTCATCCTGTCAGATATGTATGCTTATTTAATTGTGTGGTACGCAAAACACCAAAAATTCTGAAATGTGTGAACCAACAAACTATATAAACTTTCTATACATGATATTTATATTAAAATGGTGTGAACTGCCTTACTTATTCACATCAGTAAATTCAGTCTTATAGTTTCTGCACCATTGCTACTTGTGATGTTTCCTGTAATCCCACATCAGAAATGTGAAGAAACGCATTACGCGATGGTAACAGGTTTATGTCTGCTTCAGTATTTTACCCACAATCTAACTGGACAAGTCAGCAGGGGGGCTGCTTCAAAGACTAAAACTAAGCAGACTAAGCGGTTTAACGCCTGATTAAAAACTGACTTAAAAATCATGGAGAAAACAAAAACAACAACTACAGTACTTCCATGATGCCATCAGTTTCTTAAACTTTAAAAGGAATATTCAATAAATGTTGAGCTTAATTGATAGCATTTGGTACCATATCAGTTTTGAGGCCAATTCGTCTATGTTAAATGACTTACTGTTTTAGTAGTAGAGACACAAGATGTGAAACATATTTGTTAACATGATTTTAATGTGATAAAATCTTTTCTGTGTAAAGTTATATCAAACTTACCAACTTCATTGACTAAAAAGGATTTACAACTTTACAATTTGAATTATACACACATTTTAACAGATGAATTAATGTAAATATTTTTGCTTCACCTTTCTGCTTTTAAGTCCTCCAGAAATTGTCCCTATTGTAAGTGCTTAATAGCAATATTTAACTTTTTTTTAAGTCTAAATACTTTTTGTGATATTATGCCACAAATGCTATCAATTGAGCTTAACTTTGAACATGAATCAGTGCAGATTTTGTGGGCTCTGTGTTGGTTACAGAGTAGTTGTGCTTGTGCTTGTGGCGTCTATGTACAATACCCTTTTCAGGGAACTATAGTCTCCCACCTGGTGGTCATAATGTTAAATTCCATCTAAGTACCACAATTCTGAAAGATAAGACAGCAGTCTTTATGTAATTCACACACATCAAGAGCATTTTCCAACTTTCAAGCACTGATTTGGTCTAGGGTATACAATAAATGCTTCATAGAATCAAAAGTCTTTTGTTATGTTATTTTATTTAAACTGTGCGTTGTCAGTCTAATATAGCATGAATTTTCTTTTCACATATACTGATAATTCTGTTTGTCATAACTTCATGCTTGATTTATTATCACTGATGTATGATTGTTCT